ATTTTCCGAGATATTAAGAAAAAACTAAAGCCCCATTTTTTTCACTTAATTGTTTATAACTTTTGTAATTTTTATCGGCGCGTTTCCGGACCTTTTCTTAAACTTTCTAGGCAAAAATACGAATCGAATGACACCTTGGTCGTAATTTTTGGACAGGGCTGAAAAATGTCACCAAAAAGAGCTAAATCGAGTACATGTGAACCAGACTACTCCACTCCAGACTATTAAACCCTGCGTCCGACATGTGGACTGTTAAAATTAACCTTTGTATTGAGAATTCTATTCTGTAATATCTCTTTTTGCAATGAAATAATTTTTGATTTACCAAAAACGAGCAAAAAATCATCATATTCCGTCTTTGCCAAAAGAAAGGGTTCTTTTAGAGGAAAAAATATAGATTTACTCGAAGAAGTCTTTTGCACATAAACCAACTAAATAAATATCAAATTACTGGTTCAAACAGACCATGAAACAATCATAAAATAGAAATAAAAAGAATATCATCGAAAATCATAAAAAAAAGTTACAGGTCATCAACATTTGTCATTTCTCGCAAGATTTGCACTACATTTCTGCATGGTCCAAACATACGAATTAATTGCATTTGTTACAAATGTATTTTGACAACTTCTTCGACCATTTTGTTTAATAAGAACATTATGCTGTCCAGAAAATAAAGTAATTTCTTATTTTTCTCAAAAATATTAATTTTTTATTTTAATCTTCTCAATCGTCGCAAAACGATCTTTCCTGGGTCCCTTCAGTCTTGGGAACAGGAAAAAGTCGCAAGGGGCCAAATCTGGTGAATACGGTGGCTGAGGCATGATAAACTAATATTCAAGACAGACGTACACAACGTAAATCTGAGAAAAAAAAATGTAATCACATGCCCACAACACAAGACCTCAGTTTTTCATAGAAGCCTTTCGTATTCGATTTCGCATCTTTATAATTTTATTCCCAATTCGCTTAAACAACACAGTAATATGGATAAAGTCAAAAAATAACTTGAAAGTATATAGTTTTCTGCGAGTTAACACGATGTGATGCATTCCTTTTTTCGTATAGTCCTCATTTTCCCTGCCTGTGTTTGACAAGTATTCATTTCTCGTTATCTTCCATATTACTTTTTTCTCTTTTATTCCCCACAACGGATTTAATATCTCCCGGAGCGTAGGGCAACACCGGTGTCTCGTCAATACCGTAAGAGTGCCGTAGATGGTAATATAGCACTCTCATGGACGCTTTATGTCGACTAATATAGGCTGAGACCGCATATGCTGGACATGCTGATAGCAAGTGCATTAAAGTCTCGGACGCCTCGCGGCAGGCCCTGCATCTTGTATCAGAAACCTCTATACCCATCACGCGACTGCGGTAGACTAAGGTGTTGAAGACACCATTCTGGCAGGCCATCTTGAATAAAATAATAAAAGTTCCATATGAGAACAATCTAAAGAGAATGTCCGAATATGCCCTCCATTGAATTTTCAAAGTGATCCGTTGTCTGGTTCACCAGAAACGTCTAATGTGCTATCCACCGTGAATCAGCATGTATAGTGAAATTGAATATTTCTTTTCTCCTTCTAGGGAAGAAGAATCGCTGATGAAAGATCAGCTGTCGAAAGAAGATACTCCCAACAAATTGAACAACTCACAACTGAACTGGGGGTTCAATGGGAGAGCTCTAACAAATTGCAGCTAGAACTAGATAAACAGAGAAGAGAAAATGCTGATCTACGAAGAGAAGTTGCCCAAAAACAAGCTCTTATTGATGAACTGAAGAAAGAAATGCAGAACAAAATCAGTAAGTGGGCTTTGGACTTAATGTTTGATTTTTTCATTTGAGGGATTCGCTTTAGGTTGAATTCATTCATAGGATTACCTTCCAAATGTACAAAAATAAACATAATGAAATGATATGAAGATGAATGTTACTTACACCAAACAGATTCTTTTTACACCAGATATGGCTCCGTGTGATTTTTTTCTTTTACAAAAAAAAAATATAAATAGCAGTCGTTTCACAAACATAGATCTCACTCCTACTTCTCATGTTGCATGATGAATTGGGAAGAAATATTGCTCATCGAGGACTGCGTGGGCTGAGGGTGGTATTTTTTTATTATTTCAAACTTCGATCCCTAATGAATTATATCTTAATTCATTCAGTTACAAACACGACTTTCAATTTTTTAATAATCAGTTAAAAATGTACTTATTATCAAATTCCTTATTTGGTCTCTCATCCTGTTAATGAATGTGGGCAAACTAGAGATCTTACTTTTTCTATAATCTGTTGAGAATCGATGAGGGGAAAGAATCTATAATTAGAAACACAAGACAAAAAACATTAATTGCTGTCTATCGATATCAAACTATAGAAAAATATTAACTAGCTCGAAACAAATGAAAATTTTCTGCCTAGCTCTGAAAGATATATCTACATTACTACTATATCATTCGTTTCTTTGACAAGTAGAAATTTTACCCAATGCATACTTCCACATTGTAGTTACCTTATATTACCTTATCATCTGAAAGCAATAGGAGTTGATTGGATGCATATCTAAACAAGGAATTGGTACCGTTGCCATAGAAATGATGTATTTCTCACTTGTTTATTTACATGGCGAACATAACGATGCAGTATATGTGCCAAATCAGGAATATTACGTCCTGAAACTTCTAATTCAATTTTTTTTATTGAATGTAAAAAATTAATATGAATCACCATGTTTTCATCACATGGAATTCATGTATTGATTTTTATTATTGTGTCCAAGTTAACCAAATGGATACAAACAAAAGACTGCATATCTGCATTCGCCCCATGCAATTATTAACATATCAAGTGTGCACCTGTGCAAGTAAAAATGTTCTGAAGAAATAAGGTAAATTATCAAATTGTAATATACCAACATTTTCAAAATTTAATTTATTATGAATAGGATTTCGTGTGCAATGTGTATCAAAGTTTTGATCTTTATTGGGTGGGTAAAGAACAGAAACTATAATAATTAAAATTCATCGCCAAAATGAAAATATTCTCGACAAAATACAGTAATTATTTCGATATCAATGCAAGTGAAAACAATTTGAATCCACCCGTTCGTAATAAATATATATATTTTCATAATTTTCAATTCGCCATTCATTACACTTCAGCATATTCTCTTCACAGTATTTCTGTATACAGTAGTTTCACTCAGCGTCGGTCCCTTTGATGTCGGTGTCCAGGAGTTTCATTTTTTATAATGATGACGTATTTGACACTAATGACATTTCTCCCTACTACAATCTCAACCAAAGCGTGTATACACTGCTCAACATAACAACTATTCATATAAACTGCTCAATCTTTCTTATTAGTCAGTGGGATATGCTTCAAAACTGGCAGTAAACAAATCCAAATAAATGAACTTTAAACGTCCAATCCAGTCTCAAATATACCTACGCAGTAGGTTCAATGGACTGACGCCTATCAGAAAATAACTACTCCCCTGGCTAATACCACTAAGGAAGTTGGAATATATTCGACAGGCATACAACCGAAAGAGTCGACCCTCAATTTTGGAACGGGCACACTTGCAGACCGGTTTCGGGCTCTGTAGCTACTCATCAGTGCAAGCTAGTGGCCATCATCGACCTAAAGTCAATGATATTCCATAATTGAAAATCGGAATTCTTTCAGAGTATTTCATTCCTCTTCCTAAGTTGGAGCGAACAACAAAATGTCACTCCATCTCGTGGACGAGGTAAAAGGTATAAGGAAGAAAAACTATCGTTCTAAAAAACCTATCTATTCCCTGTTCAACTGCAACTTTCAATTTTGTAAATGTTGTTTTTCAATTTCTTTGTTGAAATGTATAAGTCTGTTTCCTTTTCTACAGAAAATCAGCATCTCCAAAAATGGAATGGAGAAGAAAACCAGACTACGCAGACACGGCTTACAGAGAAGCTGTGGGACACCTACGAATACTTCTAGCCGAAAGTTACGGCCCCATAAAGAGACCTCTGAAAGAATTGGATAGCGCTGGAGAAGAAACCGACAATCAATCAGTTGTGAGTGCCGCCAGTAGAAACTCCAAAGTAACCAGAAGTTATTACCATTACAATCCAGTAAATCCAAGGAAGTACTATCACTACCCAACATTGAGAAGCAACTATAATGGCTTGTCAACTGAAACAGAGAAACCTTATTCGTGAGTTTCAATCCAAACTAACATTATCATTTGCTTTCACTTCAGAGCTACACAAGTTTATACTTTTAGTTTCATAAATACAGAATCCGGTTTTCTTTTATTTGCTCTCGTCAAAGGAAATTCACTGCCGCTTGAACACTTATTTTGTGAGAAAGAATTGAAATCGACATAATTTTCTCACGACATTTTTGGCTACGCACTGAACTGAATTGAATGATCGTTGAATTTCTTGTAATTTAGCTTTCACACATGGTTCAGGAATGAGTTGCGAATTCGCAGCTGAACTTACTAGAGAATATTATTTTTTCTTTTTTGTTACTAACCGTGATTGATCTGTCACACTTATAGAATTTTTCAACTGGCTACAGATATCTCTAGACTGACCCCATTACAATATTCTTCTTTGCTTTGCAATATCTTGATGGAGATCAATACTTTGTATAGTCAAAGTAAACGATATTGTGCACACTTAAAGTTGGCGGCACTGTCAAAGTCAAACTGCTGCAAACTAGTCGTCGTAGACTGTAGAATTGCCGGCTCGTATTGGATAATTTTTACTAACAGAGTTTTATGATTGGCTGAAGTCATAAAATCTGTTTAAAAAATCTGTTTAAAGTATGTTTTTCCGTTAAATAGCTGTCGCCCCCATACGAACGACAACTCTCAGAAGTTGAGAAACTTGTGCGAGCTGAGGACTAACGAGGTCTTACCTTTCAACGTGTGATTCCTAAAAGAAGTCATGTTACGGTGACGAATAGAAATCGAGGAATGCGGAATAGTTATCGGTCCAAAAATAGTGCCCTGAAAAACCCCACATAGTAATAAATAAACCTCTTCATTACGCCCGATGCCCGATGGGCAGTGAACTACATAGTAAACTAAAGATATTAACTCAATTGTATAGATTGAGTTACTCAACTCAATTCAAATACTCAATCGATAGCATCGCATAGGATAGTTGGTAGTCAGTTGAGCGTTAATTAACGTTTTTATCTAATTTATTAACCATTTGTTGGTCATCGTCAAGTTGTCAATATAATCATACGAATGTTTAAGGTACCGTCATCAATGTCACAAAGTAAGGAATTTTGATAACCATGGTGACTTCAACACGATTGATGCAAAGTACCAGTTCTGAATCGAACACTGTTTTGTTTCAAAGAACTACTTTCATATGAACAATAAATTACATTTAAATAAATCTTTCCCATTCAGTTTGTACTTTGAACTTTCTTTTTCAGTGAACCACCGAAACTTGAGAATCAAAGTCATCCCCCAGAGCTGATGAATTTCATAGAACGTCAAGATGAGTACATAGAACAGTTAGAGAAAGAATCCAAAATCTGTAGGGTAAGTAAATACGGTACAGAAACTTTCCAGCTACGGTAATCTTTTTCCCTTTCAGGAAGAACTATCCTCTGTTTTGGTCAAAGTAAAGGAACTCATCAAGGAAAATGAACATTTGCACGACAGACAAGTTTCAAGGAAAATCAAATCAGTTTTCGAAAATCTTGACACCGAAACTGATACGGAGACAGACATCGAAAATAAAAGTGTAAGTACCACAATTATTGAGCACAATCTCTCTTTGAAAATCGACAATCATTTGGTTCTGCAGAACCTAATTTTCTATTGATTGTGTTGGTAACAATGAAGCAATTTAATGTTGGTAGTGCGTCACTTTCCTATTCTGCCAAATGTCATTACATGAAACATATGAGGTCGAGGAAGTTGTAATAAATTTGAGAAGAACGTTGTGCGAAAGATCATTATAATTGAATTTTGAAAATACTGATCCAAGGTTTATTCCAGCCATCATTAGTTTGAACCTTGATTTGAATTAATGCACTTTTGCCAACGTAACACAAGTCGATTCATTTGAACAGCATTAAAATTAATTGCTCGTGATTCGATGAAGTAGAAGAAGGCCGTTTAAGCCTCGTCCTGATTGGCAAAGTTTCTACCGGTGAGAAAGTTGTCGAAATGCTTGAGAAGATGGTAGTTGCTTGGCAAAGAGTCTGGGTGGTATGGTGAGTGAGGCAGAAATTCGACGCTCAATTCGTTCAATTTTCGGGCGGTGATTTGTGAAACGTGCGGACGGGCGTTGTCGTTGAACAGGATCGGACCTGTTCTGTTGACCAATACCGGCAGCTGCTGACGCAAATCTCGGTACATTTCGTCGATTTCCTCATAATAGGACTTTGTGATGGTTTGGCCTGGTTGCAGAAAGTTATAGTGAATTACACGAGTCATTGACCACCATACAGCAGCAACCATGGTCTTTTTTGGTAGGTTTTCACCTTTGGGAAGGGCTTGAGTGGCTCAGCGGAGTCCAACTACTGTCGTGAACGTTTCCTGTTGTCACAGAGGATATACTTTTTATCATACTTGACGATCCGATCCGAAAAAGCTCGTTTTGGCTGCGCGAAAGCAAAGAAGGAACAGAGTTGTCGGGCTGTTTTGGCAGCGCTTTGGTTCAATTTGAATTCGTAGAAAAAAATTGTCCGAAAAGGGCCAAGACCTGTTCACATTAAAACTTTAAAACAAATTTATATGGCAACGATCATAATGATCATATGTCCCTTACGAAACTAGCCGTCAGAATCAGTTAAGAGTGTGTATTCTGCGAGTCTTGGCCTACACCTGCCGATAGAAAGGAGATGTCTCCAAGTGACCTGTCCACCTTCCTGGAAAGGACAGGATGGACGATGACCTAGGAGGACAACTCCTCGAGACGATGTACAATAGGTATGTACATGTGGCCTAAGTGCTACACTGACCCTCCCTACTCTACAGATACAGATCCCACAGGCAGTAGGAGTTTTCTTAACTAACACTCAACTTAACAATCACTCAAATTGGTGGAGAATTAATCCAAAATCAAGCACTTTCCCAGACACCAAAACTGCAATACTTTTCTCAACACGCGTTTCACCAACCAAGTTTACAGCTTCAGGAGATGGTGGTGTTTGGAAAAAGTGCTCGTTTTTGGAGATTGGGGTAATTTATAGTTATTAGTTCAGCAAATGTTAGAACCTGAGGTTTTTTCTCTTTAAGATTAGTCAGGGTTGCGAGTACTCCTCTGTCACTCTGAACTCTCACTTAATCCTAATATAATAAATGAGTTCTACTGTTCTATTGCTGAACAGTTGAGTAACACAATTCATGCTCCATATGATCCATTGATCAACTGCGAAAATATGAAAATTCATGACAGTCTTATTTAATATGACACTGACCTTAATGAATTGTTCAAAACACTTCATGACATTGAAAATAAAAACACGGCCGGATATGATGATATTTCCGTTAAGATTCTCTTGAATTTACCACTCAATGCTCTAGAAACTTTGTTCGCCCTTATTAATGCCTCATTCAGAACTGGCTCATTTCCTTCTTCCCTGAAGACTTCTGTTGTCATTCCACTACATAAAGGTGGTGATTTGGATAATCCCTCCAATCTGCGTCCTATTTCCTTAATACCGACTTTAGCAAAAATTATTGAAAAATTAGTCAAAGTACGTTTAGATGAATTCTTAAAACTGCACTGTATTATAAGCAAAAACTAGTTTGGGTTTCAAGAGGAAAAATATACAAATGATGCTATCTTCTCTTTTTTATATGAAATTTACTCTGAATTGAATGCTGGTGAAGTAGCCGCCGCAATTTTTTGCGATATTCCAAAGGTGTTTGATTGCGTCAATCATGAAATTTTATTAAAAAAAATTCATAGAGTGGGTTTTCGGTATACAGATGTTTCCCACTTAGTGTCGGTCCTCTTCACCAAAACGTCTAAGAATCGCAATTCGTTGTGGATTTCCTTCTCCATTGAGAAATTGATGGAAGGTCTCACGCTGTTGACGTGTTTCAGGAAGGCGTCTAGTTCAGTATTCCCATGGTTGCCAGGTTCACCCTGGGCGACCCTGGAAAGCTGGCGCCAAAAAAATATCTAGCGATGACCAGGAAAAATGTACGCTTAACAGTAGGATTTCTGACTAGCCACTATCAACAAAGGAAACACCTCCATAATATGAGACTAGTTGACACACATCTATGCAGGATCTGTTAACAGAAAGATGAGCCTGTCAGGCATGTCCTATGCGAGTGCCCGGAGTTATCGTCAATAAGAGAGTGTGTGTTCTGCGAGTTTTGGCCTACACCTGCCGATATAAAAGAGATGTCTCCAAGTGACCTGTCCACCTTCCTGGAAAGGACTGGATGGACGATGACCTAGGAGGACAACTCCTCGGGAGGATGTACAGTAGGTATGTACATATGCCCCAAGTGCTGTGTTCCACCAACCAAGTTTACAGCTTCAGGAGATGGTGGTGTTTGGGAAAAGTGCTCGTTTTTGGAGATTGGAATAATTTACAGTTGTTAGTTCAGCAAATGTTAGAACCTGAGGTTTTTTCTCTTTAAGATTAGTCAGGGTTGCGAGTACTCCTCTGTCACTATGAAGTATCGAAAGCTCTGTTTTTCGAATCCTGTATAACATGTACAATGAAATATTTGTTTTTTTTTTTAATCACAACTCAATCTTAATCCTCATTATTTTTTGTAGATTTTAAAATCTCCAAAGAAAACTCGAAAAAATCTACTTTTCGAAGGACCCGCAATAGTATTCGAATCTAGAATTTCGGAATTAGAAGCTCAACTTACCCAAGCTCGAATTGATCTCAAGAAAGCTCTTGAAGAGAACGAAACGAACAGAAGGAAATTGAATGATGGCACGATATTGGAGAGCGCTGGTTTTGAATCTTATAAAAAGCAACTGGAAAATCTACACAGGTGAGTATATTAGACACATCAATACATTGAGACACTTTCATGTCTTCGGTGAAGTTTCTGTGAAATAAAAGTTATTGGGAATCAAGTGATACTATGAAAGATAAAGCTGGTCAGTATTTGAATCATTTTTCATTTAGGGAAAAACAGACTCTCCAAGATACCGTACAGAAATTGCAGAATTCTTTGGCTTCATTGAGAGATAAAGAAAACGACACCAGTGACAAAGTGAAGAGGAGTTTAGATGTTGCAGAACAAGCCCAGTATGAAAAAAACGCAGCTGAATCTGAAATCAGGCGACTAAAAGACGAACTGGAGAGGCAGCATATGAAGATGAGAGATGCCATTGCAGACCAGGTAATAATAGTAGGTTGTTTCAGAAATGTTGTCCGTTTCAATGTCATATGTTTGTGTGATAGTGTTAAAGAAAGCGAAATTTCGTTCCGGAGATTGAAGCCTCGAAGATGAGCCAGGAACTGGTCGACCTACAGTTATCCAGGACGAAGATTTGAAGACCCATTACAAACGGAACGTGTCATGGCGGAATAACTGGGTGTCACCTCCCATTCAGTTTCTAATGGTTTAAAACGTATTGGGAAGGTCAAGAAGCTCAAAAAGTGGGTGTCCCACGATTTGAACTATCGACAGAAATTGTCACGTTTCGAGACCTATTCTTCTTTGCTTTTGCGCAACCAAAACGATTCTTTCAGATCGGAAGGTGACATGTGATGAAAAGTGGATCCTCTACGACAACAGGAGACGTTAGGACGTTGGTTAGACATCGATGAACCATCCAGGCACTTCCCAGAGACGAAAACTCACAAAAAAACACTATCACACCATCACAGCAGAGTCATATAGTGGGGAAATTGACGAAATATACTAAAAACTGCGTCAGTGACGCTGGTCAACTGAAGAGGTCCGATCCTGCGTCATGACAACACCCATCCGCACGTTTCACAAATCACCGTCCCAAAACTAAACGAATTGAGCGTCGAAGTTCTTTTTTATCCACCATACTCTCCATACCTCTCGCCAACCGACTACCATCTTTTCAAACATTTCGATAACTATGTCACCGGTAAAATATTCGCCAATCACGACCAGGCAAAAAAGGCTTTTGTCGACTTCATCGAATCCCGAGCACGAAATTTTGTGCTGACGGCACAAGTGCTGTGTACTGATTCAAATGTCGCTTATTTCTATCAATTTGAATATGTATTGTGAGCCGTCACAAGGTGCTTGTCAGATGTAAAATATCGAAATTATTTTGTACAAGTAATATGTATGCACAAAAGATTACGACTGGAATTGATAAAGCACAATGTTAAAATGAGATATTTCGACTTTTTCCAGAAAATGAAAACATTTATTTTCATAAAATACAAAATTAAAAAAAAAACAATCATTTAAATTGTGTCCACACAATTATCTCAATCAGTGACTTCGGTAATAATAATAATCGATGTTGCCTCTGGCGGTATTACTGTAACAATTGGTCGAAGACAACTGAAGTACGTTACAAAAGTATTGGACTCAACANTAAAGTGCAGCCAAAATCTCAAACAGTCCGAAATAGTCTCGGACACTTGTTTAAACCAGAACGCTTTTGAGGAGACCACTGTGCCACCTATCGTATATATGAAGAGATGAAGACGAGAAAATACTATTAATCATGTCCATTTTGTTATGTAGCGTATCCCTATAGTCAGTTCAAATGTTATCTACCCTCAATCATCAATTATTCAAATCAAATAAATAAAAAAAACCTAGCAAATATCCCAAACAAATTTCCACATGAATGCGCATGAGCAACGGGAACAGTTCCTCAATAGTTCAGCCTCGAGAGCAAGAACGATTCGGGACGATTCAAAACAGTTTAGGATCATTTCGCAGTCGAAACCAGAACAGAGGATTCATCAGTCCGAAATTTTCCTCAATAAACCAGAACGCTCTATATCAACTGCGCATGATCCTGACGTTCTTGAACCTGAATTTCGCAGAACCAGAACAAACCTAATGTACAATATTTTCTATCAATCAGTATATACAACGACATAGTAGAATAAATATTTATTGAGATATGGAGCTACAAGAACACATGAAACTAAAACGGACAAAACTTTCGAAGCAACCAATCGCCTACTTTTAATATTGAAATGAAAAAAAAAACGCTTTTTCCTTCTACAAAATAATTGAGATAGTTTTCCATGAGTTGATTCGGGAGGTTTTTCCTCGAAAAATAATGAATTCGTGTTTTGCAGCGGCGACTGTTGCCGAGTTAGAGGGCATGATCCACTCCCAAAACCAACTCATGGAAAAACTGTCTACCGAATGTCACGCCCTAACTCAGAAACTGGAAGATGCAAGCGTCAGACATAAGTAAGGATTCACATTATCTCATTTCGAAATGATATGAAAAATAAAGAGACTGTTACAAAAGTAAAATGACCAATAACTGAACGAAAGTTATTTTTTGTGGAGGAAAATCAGTTTTGATCGACCTTCTTTGGGTATTTTCACCTTTCACAACTGAAAAATATAAAATTTTCAACATTAAAATAGAAAGGGCAAACTTTTCAGTTAACCCCGATAAGTTATTGTGTAAATTCAAAGTATTTATCTAATAATTCTGTGTATCAAAAAAATGCTAAGAATGTGGTAAGTAGTAGTAAAGGCGTATTAGTAGTCACTGCTGTTTGTGCCAGCTGGCTTGAAGATACAGAAAAGTGATCTGCATTATCGGCACCAGAATGGCGACGAATGTATTTTTGTTGTAGCTGTATTCGTTTTAATAAATCAGTTATACAATAAATAAGGAATCTGTTTGAGTTTGAATAATGCATTATTCTGTTTGGTATAATACTACATGGCGCAGTCGGTAGGATTTCGTTTTAATAAATTAGTTATACAATAAATAAAGAATCTGTTTGAGTTTGAATAATACATTATTCTGTTTGGTGTAATACTACAAAGAAAGTATACAATACTAATCCTAACGTTTCGGATACTAAAATCTGCCTCTGTCTTCAGGAATGGATAAAATTTAAGTTCATACGCCGCGCCATTTTTCCTTTGCTGATTCTTTATATCTCGCCATTTCTTGAGATTGTGGAAGGCAAAAATACCCTTAATTTGGCTAAGGTCGATTGAGTGCACTGTTGGGAGTTCAACTGTATAGAAATCAATGGTTTTTTCAACAGTGACTACATTTACCTCTCCAAAATTTTTCCACTTGAAATCATACAAATCAGTTCAACGCATTTTTCTGTCAACGTCCTATTTAGAACCTTTACCTACTGGTAACCTTTATTTTTTGAAAACATCTTCACTGTGACCTTCATTGCTCTTCGTATAGGATTACCATGATTTTATGTTCCTATTATAAAAATGTTTGGTGGTATTTTTACGTTAGAAGTCTTGTCCGCTTTTATAAGTCTACTTTGAACTGTAATATCTCAATGAATCCCATTTGAATCAGTGTCGTTTTTGCCTGGTCCTCATTGACGATGATTCTACCGGTGAGAAAGTTATCGAAGTGCTTGAAAAGATGGCAGTCGGTTAGCGAGAGTTATGGAGAGTATGGTGGATGAAACATAACTTCGACGCTCAATTCGTTTAATTTTCCGACGGTGACTTGTGAAACGTGCAGACCGGCGTTGTTATGGAGTAGAATCGTACCTCTTCTTTTCGGAAAATTTCGACAATTTCCTCACATTTCCTGCTGTGATGGTTTGACCCGATTGCAGAAAGCAGCCGCTGACCACCATACAGTAACCATGGTCTTTTTTGGTGTGTTTTTGCCTTTGGGAAGTGCCTGGCAGGCTCATTGGTGTCCAACCACTGTCCTGCACGTCTCCTGTTGTCGTAGAGGATACATTTTTCATCACACCTAACAATCCGATCCAAAACAGAATCGTTTTGCAGAAGGAGCAGACTCACTCAGAGTAGAATCCAGTTCTGCTTTTAATAAGTGATTTTTTTGCTGATATCTTTTTGGCAACCTTGTTTTTGACAGATCACGCGTGAATCGTTTCTTGGTCCATTGTCAAACTCGTTCATTTTGGTCTATAATTTAACCATGAATCGACTTACGAATGAACAACGCTTGCAAATTATTGAATTTTATTATCAAAATTCATGCTCGGTGAAGAAAATGCATCGTGCACTTCTTCCAATTTATGGGCAGTTTCGTCGGCCTACTGAGGGAGCTATTCGGAAGCTTGTGACTAAATTTCGAACCCAGTTTACATTATTGGACATTAAACCACCAACACGCATACGTAGAGTGAGGACCGAAGAAAATATTGCGGCTGTATCCGCCAGTGTTCGTGATGACCGTGCAATGTCGATTCGCCGCCGTTCGCAGCAATTGGGCCTCTGTTATTCCACTACGTGGAAAATTTTACGAAAGGATTTGGGTGTAAAACCTTATAAGATACAGCTGGTGCAAGAATTGAAGCCACACGAATTCCCACAACGTCTAACATTTGGTGAATGGGCACTGGCAAAGTTGGAGGAAGATCCACATTTTTATCGAAAAATTGTGTTCAGCGACGAGGCTCATTTCTGGATGAATGGCCACGTTAACAAGCAAAATTGCCGCATCTGGAGTGAATACCAGCCACAAGCATTGCAAGAGCTAGCGATGCATCCCGAAAAAGTCACTGTTTGGTGTGGATTATGGGTCAGTGGCATCATCGGGCCGTACTTCTTCAGAGACGACAATGGCCAGAACGTTACTGTGAATGGCGAGCGCTACCGTGTGATGATTGACAACTTTTTGTTTCCCAAAATGGAAAAATTGGGCATGCCTGACAGGTGGTTTCAACAAGACGGTCCCACATACCATACGACACGCGAAACAATGGCCCAATGAAGAGCCGCCTTCGGTGAACAGTTTATCTCACGTTTAGGGCCAGTCAATTGGCCGCCTAGATCGTGTGATTTAACGCCTTTGGATTATTTCTTGTGGGGTCATGTTAATGCGCATGTCAAATCCTATACCTCTTAAAAAATCACCCGTTATATCGGTTGGGCTCAGGCGTTTCAAACAAAGTATTGTGCCACATAATGATGGCCCAATTTCTACATATTCACAAGTTCACCGAAATCGTCTGCTATTGATGGCTGCCAAACAAATTCTAAAAAATGCAGCGTCTTCAAACTTGAAACATATTCTTTATAGATTGTGTATTTTCTAATACAGTGATATTTTTCAAACAACTACCGCCATCTCTAGATCAGACCAGGTACATCTGGGACCATCCTGGTATACCACGACAAATTAGAATAAATACGTATTAAGTTATGGATTTGAAAACATCTTCACTGTGACCTTCATTGCTCTTCGTATAGGATTACCAATATTTTTATGTTCCTATTATAAAAATGTTTGGTGGTATTTTTAGGTTATTTGAGAAGTCTTGTACGCATTTATAAGTCTACTTTGAACTGTAATATCTCAATGAATCCCATTTGAATCAGTGTCGTTTTTGCCTGGTCCTCATTGACAATGATTCTACCGGTGAGAAAGTTATCGAAGTGCTTGAAAAGATGGCAGTCGGTTAGCGAGAGGTATGGAGAGTATGGTGGATGAATAACTTCGACGCTAAATTCGTTTAATTTTCCGACAGTGATAATACCAAAGTTCGTTTATTTTTTTAACAGTCTCCTAAACTATATTTTAAAAGACAAATCAGTTTTCAGATGTCTTCAAATTGTTGATCTGAAGCGATTCCTTTTCTCTAACATTCATTACTAAATTGCAAGTCACTCCGAACAAATATTTATACAAATATTGAATCATCACAGTTCAGAGAAAGGAAAAATCTTCAGGCAACAATCGAAGCTACCATTATCTCTTTTTCAATTTTTTGAAAATTTCAAAACATGATACTAACTTGTGTTTGGTAGGGACGGACCAGGCAAATCCCAAAAGCGAGTCCGATTCGCCGACAGTCCGACCAACCAAACGCAAGGAGCCCATTAAAGTTGATATCAGTGTCAAAGTGGTCCCGAAACCTAGAAAGGTCAGTCAAAAAGTATTTAGTAGTCAGGGAAGAAATGAAAATTTCAACCGTATCAAATCGAATTAAGAGAAATGCTAGATAATATAAAATGATACAAATACACCTTCATCTTCTTTAAAGTGTTTTTTATTCAATTTGGAAAGATAAAAACCAATAGAAAGTTCATTGTCGTTAGTACTTCAATCTATTCAGGCAACTGAATCTTTGATATTCGAGGATTGAGTTCTGTATTGATACCAAAAATAGCGATTTCGTAAGAGGGGAGGTCATCGCCTTCATTTACTCAGACTTGTTCCTTAGCCGCGTTTAAACGATGCCAATTGAGGGGACAATTGTCAGGGCCAGTTGTCTTGGGCCAGTTGCGTCAAGGTCTGAGGCCAGTCAAATTGATAGAGAACTTGTTCACACGGCGAAACTATTTCCACGGCGGTTGGTGACCAAAAAGGGCGGAGTCCTCATCGTCTGTTGTGTCTCGTGATGAATTGAGACTCGACTGACAAAGACAAACTGGCCCAAAACAAGATATCCACGGCCCTACCACGTTCACACGGCGCCAAATGACAAGACAACTGCCGTGATTAGAGAGGTGGGGGGCGTCACTGCGCCCAGTCAATTGTACTCTGTCTACTACTGAAGGCAGTCGAATTTCAGGACAACTGGCAGGACAGTTGGTACGCCAATTGGCCAGAGTAAGCTGTCCTCTGTCAATTGTCTCCTCAACTGGCATCGAGTAAACGCGGCTTTGACTACAGTTGAATCCAGTAATGCATTTGTAAATCAGCATAGCATCACTGACGGGATCTATGGTGGGTAGAAACAGAGATGTACGAGTTACGTACAGTTCGCACGCAAACCTCTGTGGCCTCAACTACTCGTTCTTGAACCTTCGGCCTCAGCCACATGTTTTTGAACCTTCAAAGTTGAAATGAAATATTGGTTACAATTACTTCTTACCTTCACAAGAGACATTCTTATTCCATCTGCCGTTGCTTCCGCTTGCATGAGATTGATACGTTGTTCACAATTTCTCTTTTTTGTCCACTGAGAACATTGTTTTACAGTTTACCGTTCGAAGGTATTCTCAAAGACAACAAATAACTTACAGTTCACCATACAGAATGATTTCTCCACTTACTGTACTAACACGATGTTGGCTACACGAGTTCCTCGATGTTAATGAGCTCACGCCCAACTCCGCTGGCTGATCTTCTGCGCATCCAATAGTCAGAGGCACAGACAAATTTGTCAGGCTGTACCTATTCTCTTCGGTACAGCAGTCTGTTAGGCCTGTGTTATGTATCAAGTAGTGTTTTATAATATTTTCAACGTTTGTTTGAAGGTGATTGACAATGTTTCATGATGAATTTCACTAGTTCGGACTTCCATTGTCTACTATATAAAATGATTTGAAATCCCTGAAACAACTAAAAAAGAAGAATTAAAAATGAATAGCTGAAAATAACAATTATATTAAGCAAAATAAACCTGAAAAAATGAAATAATAGTGAAATAAAATACAAGTAAAAATAGAACAATTGAATAAATAAAAATAAAGAAATGAAAAAAGAAAATAAAAATTAACAGTGAAGAGATTCCAAGTCACGTTAGTTCACGACGTTTCGATTGTTAGTATCTACAATCATTTTCGGGTGATGACTGGACTGATTCCTCCGAGAGATGACTATTTATAGGTCACTAGTTCCGTGGGAAATGACCGTTTGGGTTGAAGATCCATCAAGACATGGAGAATACCCACAACAGAAAGTGGGGGAAGTTAATGAGGGAACAATGCCCAAATACAGACCGAAAACAGGACAACTATGAAGCCGCCAACGTCATCAACATGAGTTCCCGCCCGCTCATGGGAATATAGGAATCCTTGTTGAGGAAAGGCCTAAATTTCGCCATTACGGCAACATCTGTGCCCACTTTGGAGATAATTACTACAGTAGAATCCACCAGTTCCCTTATTGACCAGAGCGAGGCAGAAGAGTTCAGATGGAAAATTAGATAAGAGCTGGATCGAAAACCAGTTCCAACATCTAACATCAGCAATGAAGAACGTAGAGCTCTGAACGGCCTACATAGAGACAACACCATCAAAATCCTGCCTGCAGATAAAGGAAACGCTACTGTGGTAATGGATACCGTTCTCTACGAAGAGAAGATCGAAGAGGTTCTTCAGAAGGGACGATACACAAAAATCGTACGGGACCCTACTGCATCAATCGAAAGAAAGTTGTACCAGATTTTGAAAAAACACCAAGTCAATTTTTCGGAGAAGGAAAGATCATCGCTAACACCGCACCACAGTAAGCCCCCTCACTTGTATGGACTACCGAAAATCCACAAGAAGGACGTTCCGCTTAGACCGATCATCAGCTCCAGAGATTCGGCTATTCAAAACTTGTCTAGATTTTTACTTCCCTCAATACAACCATTACAAGGAAAAACATCGTCTTTTGTGAAGAATTCAAGGCATTTTGTCGAACTACTAGTGTCAATTGAGGTCACACACGAAGATTAACTAATTAGTTTCGACGTGGAAAGCCTTTATACCAACGTTCCGATCGAAGAAGCACTCCAAATCATACAGAGAAAGCTATCTGAAGACGAGAACCTGAAAGAGAGAACGAATCTACCTATAGAAGTAATTATGGAATTACTAAGATGCGGTGTTCGAAACTGTTATTTCCAACTGAAGGACGAAGTCTTTACACAAGATGAGGGACTGCCAATGGGATCGCCACTTTCACCAGTCATAGCCAACATATATATGGAGAGGTTTGAAACTCTGGCCATTGAAGAAGCCCACAAGAAACCTCGAGTCTGGTTGAGATATCTAGACGACACCTTCATAATATGGAACCATGGAAATACTGAACTAGACGCCTTCCTGAAACACATCAACAGCGTGAGACCTTCCATCACTTTCACAATGGAGAAGAAAATTCACAACGAATTGCCATTCTTAGACGTTTTGGTGAAGAGGACCGACACTAAGTGGGAAACATCTGTATACCGAAAACCCACTCATACGGGACAGTATCTGAACCACAAATCCAACCACCATCAATCGAGTAAAAGAGGAATCATCAAGACTCTATTAGACCGTGCTTTTGGGCTCTGTAATAAGAAGGAAGGTCTCGAGAAGGAACTAGACATCATCAAAAATGATCTTCAACGGAATGGCTACTCCAAAGCGATGGTAGAAAAGACTTTGGCTATAAGACCGCAGGAACCTCACAAGGAAGAGTTGCCGTGACAACCAGTGCTTGCATTCCCTACATCAGAGGATTATCGGAGAGGATAAGAAGAATTGGTTCCAAGTACAACATCAGAACCTGCTTCAGATCTGGTAACACTATCCATAGCAGCCTCACGAAATCCAGGCCACCAAACGCGGACTGCGATTCCAAGAATTGCATTCACCGGATACCCTGTGAGTGCGGAAAATCCTATATTGGTGAAACTAAGAGGCCATTGAATGTTCGCATTGCTGAGCACAAGAAACACTCACAGCGAGGGGAAACCAGCAAATCAGGAATAGCAGACCACGTTTGGACCCATCAACACAACATCGAGTGGTCCCAAACTGAGATCTTGCACAGAGAGGAACATTGGTTTAGGAGAAAATTCAAGGAAGCCGCATACATGTTGTCCAACAACATATTCAGCCAAGCCAGCGTAGAAATACGTAACATACGGAAACCCATCATCAAGCGAAAAATGGCCAACTCCCGCCAAACGGTCATCTCACACGGAATCAGTGAAGCGGAAAATGGAAAGCGGGATAAGTGAAAGTACTCGAACGATCTATAAATAATCATCTCTGGGAGGAATCAGTCCAGTCATCACCCGAAGACGATTGTAGATACTAACAATCGAAACGTCGTGAACTAACGTGACTTGGAATCTCTCCATTTTTTTTCTTTTTTCATTTCTTTATTTTCATTTATTCAATTGTTCTATCTTTACTTGTTGTTTATTTCACTATTATTTCATTTCAGGTTTATTTTGCTTAATATAATGGTTATTTTCAGCTATTCGTTTTTAATTCTTATTTTTTAGTTGTTTCAGGGATTTAAAATAATTTTCTACAGTAGACAATGGAAGTCCAAAGTAGTGAAATAATGTTTTCAGTTCAAACAGCATTAGCTAGGGAAGGTTCCATGATACGGTGTTACTTGACTAAACATGCTGAACAGCTGAAACCTTTTTTGAACAGCCCTGCCCCTGGAAACTCACGAGTATATGATTGGAAAGAGTTTATAGATGTGCTTATGCAGTTTCTGAATATTTTTTTTATATTTGTTTGAATATATTCACGTTAACTTAGTGGCAATTTTTTTTGAAAAAAAAAACAACATTACCAAAGTGGAACTGAATATATTTATAATACATTTTTCATCTAGAATTGACAGGGCGAATTTGCGAGCAAGTAACTATGAACTTATGATTAGACTAGAACATATTTGGAGGTACCTGAAGCAAACACATGGACTTGATAATAAGGATGCTGAGCAGGTACAGTTTTTACGATGTATTTTAATTGTGTGTTTATTTATAGGGAGGAAATACGGGAACTACAAACTAACATAGAATTTTTAAGCAATAAATTTAGTCAGTCACAGTTTCCACCAACCAATTTCAAAGGTACAAAAGAATTAAGTGAAGATATTGATACCGATATATTTATTTTTATATCCAGTATCTAAGGATTAGAAAAAAACAGCACAATATTACTTATATCTTGAGTTAGTTTGTATGGCATAAATTCATGCCTGACTGTTGCTGCTTTGCATGACCTCGTAAAGCCGATTTGCTTAAATTTAGGAAGGATTATGTACCTACTCATATTTATTGTATGCACGCTCAGTAGGAAAGTCTTGAGCGATATGCACTGAATTGACAGGCACCTATGCTTCCTTATACCTGCGCCCTTATATAGGACAGTCATTTTCAAAAGTCCAGTTGTGCTTGATGATTTTTCAACTAATCAGTATTGTGTTAGGGAATTAAAACAGAACCTTTTGAAGAATTCAGGGAAAATTCTGTTTCTTCTTCAGATTTGTAGTTTTCCATCATAAGACTAGTTAACTCTTCGGTGGCTGAAATCATCATAATTTCATATCAGTACGATGGTACCAAGATAGCGCCTTCCAAAAGTTGTCGTTAATTTCAAAATCAATAAATTTTGGAAGTAACGTGTTGATTTCTCAGAATGTTATCTCTGAAATTGTATTCTTCAGAAATGCATCTCCTTCTAATTCAGTGGACCCTGTGTCATGTGTCATACCAAGTTTCGTCCAAATAGAAAATTTTCCGTTGTTCTTGTCTATATTTAGTTATTTCTTCTAAGTATTTGTTACGCAATTCCACTATTCTTTCGCATTCCACAACTGCTTGACGTTTGTTAATTATTTTAAATCTAAATCCTAGTTTCTTTATCCAATTCTGAAGAGCTCTGTCATAGCAACTCACGTTATGGCCGGAAGTATTCAATTTCTTCCTTATGATTTCAGTTGTAGGAATCTCATTGCTTTTGTAACAGTAATATGTGGAAAAACTGATTCTGTTAGATTATCTCTATGCCAAAAGTTTCAGTGTTATATTTCATTAAATCACAGAAGTTTGTGAGAGCAGTGATTCCATTTCCAGAGTTTGACTGTTGGAAGAGGATCTACTGGGCTTGTCAAAAAACTTTGGTAGTTACTCGCATCATTAGACAGATATGGAAAATTGTTATTATCTTTATTCTTTAACCATAAGGAAATTTTGTTTGAGACAACGGTTTGCTGTTGTACATGTATTACGTTTACAGTACGAGTATGGTCTAAGGGAAAAGGGAACGTTGGTAGGTACCTACTACGTTTTTGAAATCTTTCAAAAAGTTATCCAACTTCAGAATATACATTTTTCCGATACAATTTCTCTATTCCAGTGTGGCATGGTATAACTTGTTCCCTATTCTGCTTCTTTCTTCATGAAACTGTACAAGTAACAACCAAAATTGCCAACTTTCATAACTTTTAAGTTCTTTAAGAGCACTATGAAGCATGCATAAATTTAGAAATCTGTACTTACCCTACCAAAAAATTGTTCAACAGATTTATAAACTTTCAGATGAGGAACATACTCCAACTAGCCGTCAAAGACATGAATCACCCGGATCCACAACTTTCAGTTCAAAACCAAACATCAGTTCAATCCAAACCGCTAAACCGTCTCAACCTGTCAACGTCGACACCATGAAGTCGCAACCTATGAAAAATGTGACGACAACAAGATACGCAGAGCCCGAGCAGAAAACCTTGAGTAGGAAAAATAGCAACGTTTCTGATAAACTGAGGACTCCACTGAGAGAAAACAGTCGGGAGCAACTCCAAAGTGTAACGTCGCCAGCTCATTTGGAAACCCAAAAAGAAGAAATCAACACCACGAATCAAACTTCTGTGCAGAACCCATCTGGTGTTCAACCAAATCAGAGCGGTTTTTTACCAGCGCAAGAACACAACATAGAAACTGATGAATATCCCCAATATGACACTACTGACCACTACAATCCCGAGCAGCATTACGACCCTGTCCAACAGTATGACCCCAATCAAGGTTACGACCCTAATCAGCAATACGATCCCACCCAGCAATATAATCAGCCATACGATCATAACCAAGAGTATGATCCCAACCAAGAATATGACACTAGTCAGCAGTACGACCCAAATTTACATTACGATCCCAACAAACAATATGATTCAAGTCTACATTACGATAGCAACGATACGAATCAGCCTTACCAAGTTGATTCTGATAATATTCAACAATATCACGAAGATGGTACTGATCCTAACCAACGTCCACCAGCAGATTTAGAGCCCTTGACTGAAATCAATGAAAAATAATTGAAACTGAATTGAAATTATAAATAATTTGTTACAAGAATGTATATACGTACCTGTCGCTACTTAATGTTTATCAAACCAAGCCTTGGCTTCAACAGTGTTTGTTCTCGCCAAAAAGCAATGCTTTATTATGACACGGAATTCCTTCTTATCCATTTTCTTCAAACTCAAAATGTTCTGTCCCACAAGCTGATAGTCCGAAAGCTGTGAAATGTTCACACGTGTCTTTTGAAGGTTAGGGTTGACTAAATATTATATAGATTCAATACTAGTAGCGCCATCTGTGTGTTGGCCTGCGAACGTTTTATCTCTCACAGTATTACCCGAATTGTGAGCATGCGCTGACAAACTTTCAGCGTTTCTAAAATGAGGAAAGTCTGGCATTCACAGGCTCTTAATTGAATCGACAAGGATTTGATCAATTAGTCTTTTGTAATAAAAGTAAATTATTATTTTCATTTAAAAATTTGTGATGCACTGTTTGAAGCCTTTGGTGTAGTAATGAATGTTATTGAAGTTCTATCCAAACACCAAACCGCTTATGGTAATACTTCGACACGTGTTTCGATCACCAAGTGGTCATCTTCAAGAGGAAGATGATCACTTCAAGAGGATCATCTTTAAAAGGAAGTTTAATTTTTCTCTTGAAGATGATCACTTGGTGATCGAAACACGTGTCGATGAGTTAAAATAAGGGTTTGGTGTTGGGATAAAACTCCAGTAATATTTATTTAAAACTCTGTATAATGGAATTGACCGAAAATCCATGAAGTATTCAAAAAACACTTTATTGTGGGATTTTCACTAGACAGTTTTACAAAAACGCAACACGTGTTTCATACAGTGAAGTCACACCCGAAGAAGCCAATCTTCGAAACACGTGTTGCGTTTTTGTAAAAGTGTCTATCTCACGATGAATTTTTTTTTAATAGGTTTGAAAACTCTATTTCATAGGACTCCAGTTAGCAACTGCAGGTAATCTATCGAATTCTAGGAGATTTCCTTTTCGAACAGAAAATTCTGATTTCCCAAAGTATTGAAATTAGTCGAAAATTTTGGTGGGTCTTCAAATATTTTTCCATGTTGTATAATATTGCATAATCATTGAATATTCCGAAAATCCTTCAGTCTCTTAGTTATGAATAAAAAGTGAATCAAAAAATAAACGCAATGTACAAAATGTATAATTGCGAGTTGACTTATTATCCAACCTTCTTTAAAAGAATAGAAGCACAACTTTCACTCTACATTATTTGTATTTATGAGATTGAAGATATAATATGTGTTTGTAACATTATTCTGTAGTTGAACGGTTCAATTGTTTAATGTCTTTAATCACAGATTAATAAATTGTAATATGGTAGGTCATATCAAATTATATGTTTTCTTATAGCCAGTATTTCAAAAAATGAAAAATCAGTCTAGGTTAAATGAGGTTCCATTATCGCTCATACTTCAAAATAAATTATTCCTTACAGAACATTGCTTTTCATTTGCGGATGGAGTGATTTTAATATTGTTTTGAATATTTGAACATCATCTCGGTAAAAGTGCATTCAAGAATAATTATAGTGATGCTAAGAATCACACGGTTAAAGGTAAGACCTCGTTACAAGTTTCCCCTTTCGAGGGTTGTCGTTAGTTGGGGAGCATAGTTAATGATGAATGTATTTTCCCAAAGACTCCCTGCTACCCTAATAGTCAATATTTCAAAAAATAGTTTTAGGAATATTCCTAAGCATAGGAACTCGTCTCTCTCTGATATGGAAATCAATTATACATCTGTGTAGAATTGTCAAATCAGCATCATCCATCACATTTTGTAATGAAGTTATTTTGAGTTGGAATCGGTTTTTTCTCACCATTTTATTTTTTTTTTTTTTCATCTCTGATTTGATTTTTCATACAGTGTTCGCATGCGAAACTCTATGGCCTCGGTTACTCTTTCTTCAACCTTCAAGGTTTCTTTTCAAATTATAATACAATATTAGTTAAAATTATACAAAAGAAATTCTGGGAAAATTGTACTTTATGGGATACTCACGAATTTTCGCGATTTTTTCTTTGAAGACACTACGTAATGGTAGGAATTCAGGACACTTTTTATTTTTGCCGAACTCAATTAGTTTTCGAGATATGGCCTGTCAAAGTTCGTATAATGTCCATATTTTACCTTTTTTTAAGCAATAAACGATTGAAATTCACATATTTTTTATTCGAAACATCTTTTTCCATATCATCGCACTTTTTTCTATCCTTTTTCATTCACTTATTGCCAAGTTTCTTGAAATTAGATTGAAATTCCATAATTTGTCACGTGCTAACTCAACCTAACCTAACCCTACCTAACCTAACTTTAGAATTTTTATATGTATCCTCAACATTTAACCTGACCTCCGAATTCTAAAAGGAACGTATTTTAGAATAGTGAAACTGAATGCATTTGTTGCACCTGACAAATTATGTAATTTCATTCTAATTTCAGGAAAGTCAGCAATAAGTGATTGAAAAGGGATAGAAAAAGGTGCGATGATATGGAAAAAGTTGTGTTAAAAAAAAAAATATGTGAATTGCAATCGTTTATTACTTAAAAAAAAGGTAAAATATGACGTCATACCAACTATGACAGGCTATACATCGAAAACTAATCCTAATGAGTCCGACAAAAAATAAAAAGTGTTCTGAATTCCTACCATCCCAGAAAAAATCGCGAAAATCCATGAGTATCCCATAAAGTACAATTTAGCTGAAATTCTTATTTCATCTGTCTTTAATTCCGCTTGCATAAATCTTAATACGTTATAAGCATCTTTGTCCACTGAGAACCTTGTTTTTCAGTTAACTGTCCGGGAACTGGGTACTTCCCGGACGGTTGCATAAAAAATATTTTGCCAAAACTCTCTACCTACGACATTCGTGATGAAGAAATAATAAAGATATCCAATAAATTTCAGCTTTTCATCGTCAGAGGTGTTGAGTAAAACTCAAATAACGCAGATTGATAACGTCAAGTTGGCACTTCAATTTTCAATGTTGTTAACATTTCATATTAGATGAAAGATTTTTACGATAAATTCAAGATCTAAACAAAATACGAACGACAGATTTCGATTCTTGCACCATCTATCAGCATGTGCGCAAAGTTGGGTCAAGCTTGTATCTCGTGTCTAGAGCTTTTGACAAAACAAAAGCAAATTGATTAAAACACCAAGATGTCTAGGCATTTTTGTTTGATTATAATGTAACTTCTTCATTGTTACATCGGTAATTTCAGTTGAATATTCATAAGTAATAGATGAAATATCGGAAAAGTACAAAACTTGAGGTGATTTTTTGAAAGTAGTACCACCCTTCTTTTTACACCTGAGATGTGGTACCATTGTTCCATTGCGGCAACAATACCATATAGTGTTAATAAATAAGGCATCTGTCATAGATTCAAATAATTCAAATGCAAGGGTACAAACCACATCAGTCAGTAAGGCACGTGCATAATTGGCGCTCCGGGGCGACACCATTGATTCCAGTGGCGCATTTGCTTTTTCAGCTGCAGGAAAACCCGGAAAAACCTGCAGCACCACATCATCTGAAGATCTTGATCTAGAAATTTAAAAATAAATGTTCCATTTGGTGAAGCACCGGTGTTACTTCGGTGCTTAACGATCCGAAACAAAACCACCTATAAATCAGTCCGCCTGTCGTTCGTTCTAGTTATCAACTCGAAAGCAGCTTATCGATTTGACATTTTGACAATTGACAATTCGGATACGAAAGTTTATTTGGGAAGTCACATTTTTTGAAAAATAATTGAATACACTGGATTTTGTAACAATGGATGATTCTGATTTAATGCACGGTAATAACGACTATGGCTACTCTCAAAGTCATCTTGGTGAAAGTGTTGATGGAACTAGACGTAGAAGGTTAGCATTGTAATGACTATTTCAAATATTTGTTTTCAATTATTTTCTTCAATTTCCAGCTCCAATAGATCGATCAAACGTAGAAAATTTGACGATGAATTAGTAGAATACAGTCTTGGAATGCCAGGAATGTCCAACTTCAAGGTATATTTTAAGTGGTCAAACTTTTAACTAGAAAATTTAATTCATACCTGTCACAAAATCCTCATTAAATGAATAAGGAAATTTTCTTCTATATTTTGATTATATTCATATCGATAGCTTTTAATCTCCCAAAAATTTATTTGAAAATATATTGATATTTCTTCAATGGACCCATTAGAGGATGATTGACTTCTCGCAGAGATGGAAGCTGTCGACATGAGAATGATCATATAAATATTAATAAGCATATCTTGTTTGTGAAAAATGTGTTCAGAGCTTTATAGGCAACAGGTAAAACTAATGTCAACCAAATCTTTCACTGACATCAGGATGGTATATATACATCTTCATCAACAACTTGAAATGCAATTCTTTTATATTTTTGTAGAAGTAGGTTATATGAATATTTTCCATGCCAAATACGTCTATGACATTGGAATAATCATTAAAAGTCTAGTAGACCCTAGATAACCTTCAATTCTTTATTCGTATATAAGTTGCAGTATATCAAAAATAAAATTCACGATAATATCAGACAAAGGAATATACATAAATTCGACCATACAAAGATAACAGATTCATCACTAGGTAGGTAGGTAATTCCAAAGTGAGTGGGGGTCGATCCTCCAATGCACAAAATTTTGTCGAGTTTTGTATGTGATATATCATATCTGTCAGAGTACAACTTTTCTCTATTTTGAAGGACTGTAGCATGTTTCTGAATGTTGCGGAAGACACCATATTTTGATAGAAATAATCGAGTCAAAACATAGTTGGACCAGAATCTAAAGGTTTTGGCTTTCTACTTCTCCATCTGCATACAAAAAAATTGTCGGACTCTTTCAAAGGAAGGTAGAAAGCAATTAAACTATTTACAACAAAGATTTGTATACTCGAATTGAATAGAACTGGCCGAGAGAAAGATGGAGAAGTAGAAAGCTAAAACCTTTCATTCAAAGGAAGGTAGAAAGCAATTAAACTATTTACAACAAAGATTTGTATACTTGAATTGAATAGAACTGGCCGAGAGAAAGATGGAGAAGTAGAAAGCTGAAACCTTTCTTTCCTAAAAATCTGCATGTACAGTTAGTTTTGATTTTGATACCAAGAAAACTGAATTTTCTGAAAAAAATCAAATGAAAACGAAAATTATAAAATACAGTACTGATTCAACATTTCCAAATATTCTAAAAATTTTCAGAGCGGCAGATCTCGAACACATTCTTCTCACTCAGAGTTTTCAGTTGCATCCCCTTCCACTCCCCCAGTAATTTTACAGCCATCAACGTCGCAGTCCTATGCCGATTCGAAACGCAGACATCTCTCCAAAAGCCTTCCAGGAACTTCGAAGAGAGGAAGGAAGAGCGGTAGACAAGGAGGGCAGCTAGCTCCAAAAGATTTAGGAAGGTGGAAGCCCATTGATGATCTCGCTCTCATTATCGGAGTGCAGCAAACCAATGACTTACGAACTGTTCATTTGGGAACAAAGTTTTCTTGCAAGTTCACTGTTTCGGAACTACAGCAGAGATGGTATGCCCTCCTGTATGATCAGGCCGTTTCCAGGGTTGCGGTATCTGCTATGAGGAACCTCCATCCCGATATGATTGCAGCCGTCCAAGATAGGGCTTTGTGGAGCCAACAGGAAGAAGCTTTGTTAAGTACCGTCAAAGCTGTGAGTAGAAATTGTTGAATGGAGCTTGCAGAAATTTGATGAGTATTCATATCAAGACTTGATAATATTTTTTACTGAGGTTTTCACTATGAACTGAACTAAACAATACCAAAAATTAATAATAAACACGATTTTTTGAGAACCGGTACAGAGATAATTATTTTACATAACCATGTCAACACAGCTCTATAGACTTTTTCCAGTGGCGTTCAATAAGTTCGATAGCTTTTTTTATAATAAAAACTGGCTTGCGAACAGAAAATAATCCAAGGGGGCTAAATGTGGCCGTTTCTGCTTGATTTCTTCTCTCAAACGTTGCAATGAATTTGCATAATAGTTGCCATTGATAGTTTTACCACAGTAGAATAATAACCAGTAGGCCCACTTACCACGTGATCCGCCTGAGTTGTCAGGGACCTTCGACCGCTCTTAGGATGAGATTCTCATCCAACGCGTTCAGTGCTGTAATATCGAAGGATTCGACGTACCATGGGCATCGGATTAGTTATAGTAAACGGTCAGAAATTGATAAAAGTGCTCTTCATAGTACAGTCAGTCACTTATAAAATACAAAACAAAAAAATATAAAAATAGAGAGAAGTCACATTTTAAAAACAAGAAACTAGAAAATAATACTAATCATTGATGACTATTACTTAAAATATATTCACTTCCTTTTTTTTTAATGAATTTAATGAATCACAGCTTTTCATATGACTTGGCCAATTATTAAATGCAATCAGACCAGAACTATACAACGAGTCACAACCTATATGTTCTCTGTTGATATAAAAATTTCCTATTCTATTTCTAGTGGAGTGTGTATGAATGCTACTTGTGTAGGTCAACTGATCACTCAGATAATTTGGCAATATATAGTGTTTAATTTTAAATATTAGAATATTCAGTGTTATCCTTCAGTGTTTCCAACATATATTCCATAGATGTGTGTTTATTACAACTTAATATTGCTCTCATGGATCTGTTTTGAAGCTTCTGTGGTCTGTTTAGATTTTCATTGCTCACAAAATAGAGTAATCTACTGCAATAGTCAAAGTTTATTCGCTGTTGTTATTATTGTTTTTAGTTTCTGTAGTTGGTTATTGTTGTTTGTTTTATTAAAGTAAATAAGATTTTTGGATTTCCTAGTACGATGTTCATGGGTGATTTGAACGCCATCAAATGTTTGAAATGACTGTTCATTTCTATTAATAACAATGAATAAACATACAAAGTGTGAAAATCTATTGTTGCCATTGTTCAACAAATTATTTTTGCAGAACACAAATCCTCCTCCGACAACAGATACATTCGCAGAGATGCTTTCACAGCACCCAGATATTTTTTACACAGGCCGCACTGCAACTTCATTGTTTCGCCACTGGCAAAGCCTGAAATTGTATAATCTACTTCCCGACCAATCTCTGGGACCTACCTCAGCCACAGGTCGGCCTATCCTGACATTTAATGACGCAGAAGAATACATTCAGGATATAGATCTGAATGAACCGCCTGATGAAGCTCTGGACAAGGAGTTGAAGCTGCAGCAGAGGCGTAACGTGAAGGAAATTAGGCATCTCGAAAATGAAATAGGGCGTTGGAATGTTTTAGTCGACAGTGTTACAGGAATATCTCCTGGAGAACTGGACGGTCAAACGCTAGCAGTTTTGAGGGGAAGGATGGTGAGATACTTGATGCGTAGTAGGGAGATCAGTATTGGAAGATCTGGAAAGGGTCATTTGGTGGATATAGATTTGGCCCTGGAAGGTCCTGCTCATAAAATTTCTAGACGACAAGCTACATTAAGGTAAGTTCAACATCATGTCATATTGCAATATTGTTTTATTTTTAATAAAAAATGGACCCTCTAGTGAATACTTTCGAATCGCTTTTTTAATAATTTGAATGTGGATATAATTTATTTCAATGGATATACGAGGTCTGTTTAAATTTTGACTGGGCTACGTACATTCAATTGGGTTTTTTAATGTTGGTAAGCTCGTCTCGAACATATGTTCAGAATTTCAGCTGTTTAGCATGTTTAGTTTGTTAATGGGAGGCATTCATTTACGAATTTCAAATAGCATTAAACTGATAACTTGCTTTTTACAGATTGAGAAATACTGGCGAGTTTTACCTTTCCTCAGAAGGAAAGCGACCAATTTTTGTAGATGGTCGTCCAATAACTGCTGGAAATAAAGTACGTTTGTATGATAATACTGTGGTGGAGATAGCATGCCTAAGATTCATTTTTTCTGTGAACCATGATCTAATTAGAGCAATCCATAATGAATCAGTAAGATACAACTTGCCGCCATGAAGTCTGTGAGCTGAAATTTATAGTGTATTTGAATTAGATTAATTTTGTACAAGTTTCATAATTACGGTTCAACCTTTTATTGTTTGTAGTTGATTACACAAGTTTTCATAGTTTTGTGTTTAGCATTTTTAAATAATGTAAGAACTGGAGAAAAATATGTGTAATGTAATGAACCAATGTTAATAAATGAATAAAAATATACTTTGTGGAATTGATATACATTAAAAATTCAATATCATGTTCATGATTTTGCAAGTCCAGCTTCCAGAAATGCTTGTCTTGCAGCATTAGTTATATGTCGAAATCGATCAGGACCCAACTGGATTCCGCCATACCTGAAATGAAATATAGCTGAAATCAAAGGGTTTTGAAATACGGAGAGATTCAGGTGGAAACAACATTTTCAACTTGTGAAGAAACTTCTGAAAAAGTTTAGAAAATAAATGAAATTTTTGTGACCCTTTCAACTTTAATCCATCATCAAAGCAGTTTGTTCGGGTTGTCTTTAGAATTTTGTGCTCTTCTGAGCATTTCGTTACGACCAAATTTTGTCTTTGAATGGACAAAGCATTGACAACTTATTGGTAGCTTATATATCAAATGCCGAGCGGATTTAAAACTTGACCCATTACTCTCAAGATGTAGCAATTAGAACCCCAGGTTATTATTATAACTGCTGTTCGATTCCCTATTCAGTATTTAACCACATTAGACAAATTTTATCCGCACACAATTTTAAAGTATTATTTTGGTACAACTTACCATCTAGAAACAACAACCATTACATCACATAATTTCATAGTTTGAATCAATTCCAGAAGTCTGGAAGAAGCTCTATTCTCTCCATCATCGTCACAATCCTAAAACAAAAAAAATACAAAGATCTGAAGGACAATTATTTCATTTCTCACCTGTAATATTATATTATTTGGCAACACGATCCTATATGCTGAAATATTGTGAGTAGCTTGAGCAATTTTCCTATTTTGTAAAAGCAACTCCATGAAACATCTAGAAAAAATTCATTGAATGATTCGACAAAAAAAAGCCTTCAAAATGTTACCTAACATCGTCTTTATTCTTCACAGTACATACATGACCCTGGAAAACACTTTTTCTGTCTGTGATAATTGGTCCATGAAAAATCTTCAGTTCATTGGTACAAACAGGTTCATTTATATTTTCTTTCGCTGGAGATTCCTGATGAGGCGGTTTTACCTCTTTATGCTCTTTGTTCTGTTTTACAATGCTATCAACTGACATTATCATCTGATAAATAAGTGGACCTCCTCCCTCATTTCTGAAAAAGGGTGAAACTACTAATGGTTCTTACTACACATCCTAAAAATGTTTTTTTTCATAAAAAACATAGGTGATCAACATAATTCAATTCTTACTCATATAAGCTTTGAAACTTTGCTTCAATTGCTTTTTTCTGAGAAAGCTTCAGTTCTGGAGCTAGTAGTTCATATTTTGGTAAACCATCGGAGGGATAATCAGGAGTGAGAGTTATGAATAATGTTACTTCCTTGGTAATATCAATACTGCAAATTCCTGTTTTACTATCGATTTGCCACTGATCCTCAAAAATTGATTTGAGAGTTTCCATTTCTTCTGCTTGTATTGAAATATTATCCATGATTGAATTGAATAAAAATTATTTCCAATTCCTTTAATCCTTATTTTCCTCAACTGTCACAAAAATCTCATTCTGTATATGAGGAACAAGGATGCATAGAAATAGAAATCCTGGTGACTGTAACCCAATTTTGTACACATATTGATAGATGGAACCACAATTTAAAATATTTAAGATATTTAATCTGTGGTTCCATGGATGGAACAAGAATCGTTTGCAAATGTGCGCATAGCGCCTCTGTGAATGGAATGCCGAAGTACGTTAGATTTCTCTATTTTATGGAAAATCAAAAATACCATAGATCGAGTGTTATCGTTAAAATATTTTACACAAAGAAGTGTGATTGCACCATGATATTTCTAAGCATCTTGTTCCGTTTCCTAGTTCCTAATACATTGTATTAAAATAACATAAGTACTGAGGTCAGTTCAGTTCTCGTGATACTTTCGTTATTTGCATTAGGATAAAATCAACGAGGAGTTGGGAAATCTTTTGAATAAGGGAGGTTTAAGTCTAGCGATACTAGGGCGGATCATATTAGGCAATAATGTGAAAAGTATAAGTACTGCAAGCTATATAGTCAAAGCTGATTTCTTGTGTATCCTGACAGAAATGATTGTGAATGTTATGTATGAGAATTGAAAATAAAAATGTGTGATTTAAAAGTCAAAATAATAGGAAATACCAGGACCGACAAATATTCCAACAAGCTACTTGAAAAAAGGATATATTGAAAAAAAATGTGATAACACTCGTCTTGACCTGTCGCTATCCAGCGTCCTTCAACGACCTTGCCGGTAGTGACCCTCTTCCAAATTTTATGAAGCACAGAAAGGGGATATTACTATTTTCAATTATAGAAACATAAAAAAGAAAAATAATACAATTTATGAAACAACAAAAATTAATTGACCCTTCGGAACGACTTGATTGATTCCAGTGGTGCATTTGCTTTTTCAGCTGCAGGAAAATCCGAAAAACCTGCAGCACCACAGCATCTGAAGATCTTGATCTGCCAATGTCTTCTCTTTCATAGAATGAAATGTAGGGTGTCTCCAGATGCTTCAAAAAATTCAAGATATTGCCAGAATATTTAGTCACACGACTATCGCCAAACTTAAACCAATCCGTATCGTCTTTGACCAATGCGTAATAATGACCAGATTCCACACTAGAACCATAGTGAACAATGACTACATGAAGATTATAATACTGGTCTGTAGTTATGTCACAGAATATCGAATTTCTGTTATGTGATGACATATGACATAGAATTTTACTTTTCTGTGGTTATGAAGTTACTAGAGGACCTAATGTTTTGATTAGAATTTTCATTATTAGATTGTAAAAAATATTTATTTGAAGTACAATATTTGTAAATGTACAGCATTTAATATCTTTTAATTTTAATATATAACAAAATTCTAAAATGGCTCGTCACAGAGATATACGAAATATGGTTCCAGAAGGTATGAAGATTAGATACTTTCAAATAGAATTGTATATTTTATACCTTTTTCAGATTATGCATATGATGATGAAGTATATGGCCACTCAGTCGATGATGATTATTATATATCTCCTAGTCATAGACAATTTATATACAATCGAGAGGTTTCTACACGAAGCTCAGAAAGTGATATAAAAGAGGAATTGGAGGTTGAAGTGGAGTTATCAGATACTGACAAGGCTAAACTAGAATCTTGTATTGATAAAATTAAGGAAATGTTAGGCGCTCTTGCTATTTCCAGGAACGATCTGGTCAACATAATTGTCCAGGACAATTTCGATGTTGAGAAAGCAACTAACACAATTTTGGAGAACCCAAGATTTTCACAGACTGGAACCACTAAAACAAAAGGTGACTCTTACTTCCTACCACTTGAATAATTGTCGTTCATAAGGGGGCGACAGGTAGTTAAGGGAGAAGCAGATTTCAAATAGATTTTTAAAAGATACCTTAGAGAAAGAACCCGCTTGAAATAACTATGTTTTTTTATAGATATTGAGCTATAGAGTTAAAATCACAATTGAAACAGATATGGCTCTTCATAAACTGGACCAGTCAAATACTGTAAATGAAAGGGTACCAAATAATTTGAAAAACTCTTTCAGTACTTCACAAATTGGTGAGCTGACCACCAGAGTAGGAGAAGTAAAAATTAATGAACCTTCAAATGAAGAGTCTTTGAAAATAAAAAACCCGCTCATTTCAGAACACAGATCATTGAGTTCCTTACAGAATTCAAGTTCTCCTAGTAAATGGCAAATTGATTTGTCTGCAGCTTTAAAAACTAATAAAAGTGTTCCTATAGTGCCCAAAGCAGAGACATGTCAAAAAGAAACATTTGAAATGCCTTACATAGAGTGTGATAGAGAAAGATTTGTTAAAAAAAGGGATATACTAAAGTGCACGCTTGATGTGAGTCATTTCGTGGCAATTCAATTAGACATTGAGAAGAAACGATCTAATTTGGGAAAAGTGCTGTCTAAAAAGTACAAACGTTCGGTTATTAAGCTCAAGAGAAATTCGTTAACATCTGTGAAAGATATTAAAAAATTTTCATTCAGCACACCATCTCCAGATAACAATATTATTAAACACTTATCTAGGTAGTGCAGGCAACAGAGTATCACCTGTAAAATTAAGGCAATTTTTTCATTAGTTCATAAACAATTATATAAGTAATTAGTAAATTTGGTTTTCCATATTACTGGAAAAACTTGATCTCTAAATAAAGACTTGCCATATCAGTTTTTATGGAAATTTTTCTTCTTGACGTTGGTTGTGGGATGCTCTATTTTAGATATTTAACGATAGTACAAATATAAACTTGACGGTATATTATGCAGTACAAAATTCATGACTTCACCCTGTTATTATTGTTATTCCAAGTTTTCTCACAATCAGCTGCAATCCAGCTATCTGAAGGGGAAGGCACTAACGTTAAAGTGGTTGCCTCGACTCCTCAAACCGCCACTAATGTTACTAAGGGTTTTGAGTTGCCTCAAAAGAAATTTGACTCGACCCCGAGATCCCAGTCCCCTGCTTCTGGAAGGGCAACTCCAGTCTACACGGCTAACTCTGAAACATCCGACGAGAACAGAAACCAAAAAGTCAGAGACAGCAAGTTTGATCCTCAAGAAATGTTTAAAAAAGAACGAGGGACTGGCAAAGAACATTTGTACATGGTGGTTGTCGGTCATGTTGATGCTGGAAAGAGTACCCTAATGGGACATTTACTTTGCAAGTTGGGACAGGTGATTTAAATGAAAGTATATTTTCAGTTGTGACACTGACTGTGGCTGTTTTTTAGGTCAACCAACGAACGATGCATAAATACGAACAGGAAAGTAAGAAACTTGGAAAACAAAGTTTCATGTATGCTTGGGTTCTTGACGAAACTGGAGAAGAGCGCAACAGGGGAATCACCATGGATGTGGGGAGGTTTCAGTTCGAAACTAACAACAAAGCGGTAAAAATATTTCAACTTTCTCAACATTATCTTCACTAAAGTTGAGTTACTACAGAACTGCCTTTTGTTTTCGGTGGCTGGTTAGAAGTCTTGGCTTTCTTAGTGGGATTTCTACATTTCAGTTGATCCTAACCATTGTACATATGTATTTTGACTTGAATGTTAATAATGTTGGAATTCTTTAAAAGATTTGAAAAAAATGTTCAAATCAAATCAACTTCATTTATCACCAAAGTCCATACAAATGTATAAAAGTAGTTTGTACTATCTTTAATGTATTTTGAATCACGCCATAGTGAATGTAAAAAGTTATGATAGCACTTTCTCCGCTTTGCCGTTATAATTCAAAAGAGCGTTGAAAAAATTGTGGATATTGATTATGATACGTTTATACTTATACTTGAATAAGGAATAACCATTGTTAGAGGTGCTTTCCAGAGCGCATCACAAACAGGTCTCTTTCTTTCTGTTGTTCTTTCTCTTTTTCTCCCTATCTCTCCCTTCTCCACCCTGCAAAATTAGTATGTCTGGTGGTATAGGATTAGAATCACTATTCTGTTTGTAACTCATTGGTTCTAGGATTATATAATCTCAAAATTTTATGTATCTATTTTTTTTTCTGTCGTAGACGAATATATATCTGTCTTATACCCTAATTGAATAAATTTACTTACTTATTTGATATACAGGTAACTCTACTGGACGCTCCTGGTCATAAAGACTTCATCCCCAACATGATCTCAGGAGCAGGTCAGGCTGACGTAGCTCTCTTGGTAATCGACGCAACTTGTGGAGAATTCGAAACTGGTTTTGACTTGGGTGGACAAACTAGAGAACACGCTCTTCTTGTGAGATCTCTCGGGGTGACCCAACTGGCCGTTGTAATCAACAAACTAGACACTGTGTCGTGGTCGCAAGATAGATTCAATGAAATCGTCAAAAAGTTGACGACTTTTCTTAGGTTAGTTGGTTTCAAGGAGTCTGATGTAACCTTCGTACCCTGCAGTGGATTAACCGGGGAGAACCTGATCACTAAACCTACTGAAATCAAACTATCAGAATGGTACAATGGGCCTTGCCTCATGGATGTGATAGGTGAGTCACTAGTGTTTTGAAAATGAAAGAAAGTGTAAGATTTTGTGTTTCAGATAATTTTAGAACCTTAGATAGGCCAGTATCTAAACCTTTCAGATTATCGGTCAATGATATATTCAAGGTAAATATGATTATGAAGTAATTTTTAGTATGATGTTCTCAATACGTTGATAAGTTTGTGTAGTTTGAATTCCCAATATCTCAGTCAAAAGTTTTTCTTCATAAATGTATGAAACTATCAACAGCTTTTCCGTTTTTGAGCTGATTATAACATACTCATTATAACATATTAAGAAAAACACACATTGGTGTGAGACTTCCATTTGATAGTTTACAATACTGTTCAAATTATGTGTCGTGCTACATGATACGTTTATTACCATATTCTTTACCTACCTAGGAACAACTTATAAGGATGAAGAATAATCAATAACAATAATGAATAACAAACTAAATTCAATAAAGAGGAACCATTAAAATCTATTTGATCATTGAGCAATAATACTTATGGTCCTTGTCCAAAATTTTATATTGGACAAACTGGAAGAACTTTTTCCAAAAGTATAAAAGATCATAAAAGTAGTTTTATGAATAACAAGACCAATTCACCATTTGCGAACCATCTTTTGACAGAGGGGCACGAGTTCAATCACGATTATGGCGTATTGTATTTGAAAGAGAAATGTTCAAAACTCAACCTTTTGGAATCTTTGAAACTCAATAGATTTGAAAGTTCGAGATTATTGCTCAGTGATCATATATATTCGAATTGTTTTTCTTTATTGAATTTAGTTTGCAATGTGGAAATCGGCAATGAATTGTGTCGCCCGAAGATGTTATTGTATAGCGAAACACATGTCGCGGTTTCAAGCGGAAATTTCACATTAAAGTGTGTTTTTTGAATAGCTTTTCATTGAATCACATTCATAAATATATAATGACTCGTATTGCCAAAATATCCTGTTTTTCTGTTCCGCCTTAACTTTCTCATAATCCACATTACAATTTCAGGGCACAGGTACATTTTTTTGCGTATCTGGAAGAGTAGAAACCGGAACTTTGAGAGCTGGTGACAGAGTGTTGATTTGCCCCAACAAAGAGTTTGCTACTGTCAAGTCTCTCAGCATAGAAGAAGTGCCACATTCTGTTGTTTTTGCTGGTGATCAAGTTACAGCTACCCTGTCGGGGATTGACATGCAAAACGTTTCTGTAGGAAATATTTTATGTGACCCCCAGAATCCTGTTCAAGTAGTTTCCAAGTTTCAAGCTAGAATAGTTGTCTTTAATGTTACTGTTCCTATTACGAAAGGATTTTCTGTAATTCTACACAACCAGTCGCTGGTTGAACCAGTGATTGTGAGCAAATTGATTTCCCAGTTGAACAAAAACACTGGAGAAGTACTGAAGAAACATCCCAGGTTTCTAGGGAACAATACCAGTGCTATTGTAGAAATTCAATCGTCAAAACCTATTGCTCTAGAATTATATAGTGAATACAAAGAACTTGGAAGGGTTATGTTAAGGGTGGGGGGCGTAACAATAGCAGCGGGGCTCGTTACTAAAATTATATTGTAAATATTTTTTTATTCATTTTGAGGAAAATTCAATGAACTTCAGTTGCCTATAATAAGGACTTATCACTGAAATTATATTGTGAACTATTTTATGTTAATAAAAATTAAGTGGCCTGATTTTGTCACACATTTATTTGAAACCTCCATTTCATTACGTGCTTGCTACAGTTTATCATTCCTTTGTTTTTGTCTGCTGTCACTTTTGAAAATGGGTCAGTATTATAATTGTTGCTACACTGTGTTTCCAAATGGTTAAAAATACAAAAACTACAAAGTCAAGCTATGAACGAAATGCTTATGTAAACTAGGTGCAAATCCATTAATACCCTGTCTGTTCAATAAATAAGGTGAATTTTCGTTTTTCTTGTCTTGGCTCTTGTGAGCTCTTACATTGGGGCGATTGAACTTAACCATATACCCATGATTCGTCACCAGTTATGACCCTATTAAGCAAATTTGGATCGCCGTTAACGTTATTCAACAAGTTCTGAGCGATGCTCATGAGACGGTTTTTTTTGTAGAAATTCAGAAATTTCAGAACGAACTTCGGTGCCTCATTTTCATCCGTTGATGTGCTGGGTCGTCCAGGGCTAAGGTCGTTATTCACATCTTCCCGAAAGCATTTACAGACTCGGAGTACAATCGCCGTACGCCACTGTCAACATTGCAAGTGTTTTTTAGCACTTACTTTCCATTTTTTACACAAAATTTGATGCAAATTCTTTGATCCAGTTTTTTCGATAACTGAAAATCGCCGAACTCGCAAAATCCGTTTTTTTTTCCTGCAGATTTCAGCTTTTTCCTCGGTATTTCATCTTTTTTATCATTATCTCGCGTTTTTTCTCTATATCTTGCGTTTTTTCACGAAATCTCGACGTTTTCCTCAAATCACTTTTTTCATAAGATCTCGACATTTTCTCGAGGAATTTTTTTGTCAAGCACTCCATTTTTTCCACTAGAGCTTGACTTTTTTCTGGATATTGTGTTTTTTTTTGAGATCTTAACTTTTTTCTCGTGATCTCGCCTTGACCACTACAAATCAAATTTATTCATCACCGAAGTCCATACAAATGTACATGTATAAAAGACACACATCATATATATAAACTTTATTGGACTATATAGTTACATCAATACACACAAAATAAGTACATATGTATCAAAAGAACTATTATCAAAAAGAAAAATTTTATGTCAATATTATTAAAAGCTACAAATATATAAAATGAAACAAGTATGTGATAATAGTGTTTTTTAACTTGTAGCCTGGGCGTCCACGGGTATTTGTTTGGACGACTGCCGTCTTATCTATGGGCATTTAAATTATTTAAAAAATGCCAGCAAGTCTCGCCATGGGGGGTAAGCCTCCCCCACTGCTTTTTCGACTTGGGAAAAAGTTGAGAAATTTTGGGCCGTGAAGATGAATGAAAATTAAAAAAATAAAAATGAGAGAAAAGAAAGGGAGAGGTAATAAATTTTTTTGAAAGAAAACAAAACACCTTCTTAAGCTCACGTGACGTGTCTAAGAAAATCGCAAAAGTAAGCAATCCTGTATGTCCATAATCGTTGTAAGACACCTACCAATTGGCCCTTTTGCTAACTGCATAAGCTTTTTATTTAATTGACCTCAATTGATTTTATTTCAAATTATTCAAAAATAGTTTCTTCTTCTACAGAAATTCCTTCAATTTTGGATCAAATTTTTGGAAAAATACTTATTCGCAAAAAATATTGGAACAAATATTGAATGAAAAAATTATGGACACTGTTTTGAAATGACGTCCCAACCACGATACACTCATGAGTGTATCGTGGTCCCAACAGAAATTTGAAAATTCGTTATCTTTTGTCATAACCCTATTTGGAAAAAATATTATTTCCGTTGAAAAATAAATCATTTGATTTACTATTTTCAATTTTTTCCAATTTTTATTTGACTTCAACTTTTGTAACCAATTGATTTGTAAACAATTCTAACTTCTTCTGCAATATGTCGCGTTTATGTGGAAACGAAAAGAACAAACGAACAGACCAAGAGACTTGGGATTTCTGTATTTAAACCAATCACAAACTTAAATTTTATATAACGAGGCTTGATATTTGAATCCTGTGATATGAAACATCTATAAAGTATCAAACTGTTGAATAGTTATGCAGATAAAAAAAAGATTTATTGGCGGTGGTGAGAGAAGTGTTGTCAAGTATTTCACAGAGAACTTTTGAACTACTAGATCTTCAAGTTTGGTAAATAGTATTTGTAGTTCATTTTATTTCGTGTTAAATGGTAACGGTAGGTTTTCTCAAATTAAAACACGGCCTATTTCATATTTGCCATTCATATTGATATATTACGAGGATCAGGGAAACTTTCTCAGTTATTTATTATTAATATAGACATGGTAAGTTTTCATAAAATAATCTGTAAAATATTTTAGTTATATATTTCAGGAAACATCTGAATCAGGGATGCTTGCAACTTGTAAGTACCTATAATTTTTTATGTTGCGAAGTTAAAAGCTAATATTTCATTCTTTTATCAGCAAAAAATGAAAAAACGACAAAAACATATTTTTTCAAAGAAGCTTTCTCAAATGAGTACAGTGCATTTGTCAAGTACTATTATGCTATCAGGTGAGAATTATTATTGTTTCTGGAATATTTATATTTATTTGCATATTCCAGAGAAAATGGATACATACAGAAAATATTTAAAGATTTAGAAAATATGGGTGATTGTTGTGATTTATATAAGCTACCAAACAAACTTGATTTTGACAGTCTCAATTCGTATTTTGAGCCATTGAGCCCCGTTAAATCCAATAAGGAAGTTTTATGTGCTAGCAGATTGTTGAAATTAGAGTGAGTTTTGACGAATACGTTCAACAATAATGATAATATTGAACTCTATTTAAAGGACGACACCTCAAAAAGGAAGACACCTCGTAGCAAGAAAGGCGATTCCTCGAAATAAAATTTTGATAAATGAACAACCCTCAGTGATCCAAGTTAATCCTGTATGTTCCTGCGTTGGAGATTCCAAATCAATATACAGATGCCACAACTGCGGGGTTGGAATGAAACAGTTTTATATGTGAGTGCTATATTGCTTCTTGAAATAGGAGTTTGAAACTCTATTTTCAGATGTGATGGTTGCAATGTTTGTATATTTTGTTCAAGAGCATGTTTGATAAAAGCAAACAAAGAGTTTCATATTTATGAATGTTATGGATTTCAAAGACACTTTTGGTCCTTGGATGATACTGATTACAGCTACTTATCATTGAGAATAATGTTGTATGGTGCAAGTTGGAATTTTCGTTTCAAAGGAGGGGATAGTACCGTATATGGAAACAAAGATAATAATTATCCTTTCATAAACAAACTGAAAACAAATTTTGTAGAAATGTCTTTCGAACACATTAATAAAATATTATATGTAAGTGTGATAATCGTACCTAGGATTGAAAATATGTCTTTCTTCAAGGCACTTTTGGATAAAGACAAATAGTTTCAATAACCGTGAAGTATATTGTGTCATTTTTTTTCTTTTCCTATTGGTTCTTTCAGAGTTCTGCAAGAAATTTAGTGTATCTCATAACGAAGACTAGTTTCTTCCATCCATTCAAAAATCGTTCAGATTTACAAGAACTTCATTTATACATTGGCGGATTAATGGTGAAACACTATTGCCAAGCTCAAATGAATAATATCATCCTGAAATATCCTAATTATAATTTGGATTTCGGAACAGTAAGTGGATCAGCAAAAGCAATTTGTCCAACCATTTCTTTGCTGAATCATTCATGTGCTCCAAATGCTGTTGTAATGTAAGTTATATTTATTGATCTATTTATTTTTTATGATGAATTTGAAACTATACAGTTAACATTTAATAAATTATTCAAACCTACGAAATCTTGTGTAGTGTTGATGAACAAAATGCTGATTGGTGCAAAAAGTCTTCATTTTTATGGGATCTCAGTTCATCCTTTGAAAACAATTCAATTGTGTGTGAATCTGATGAACAAAAATTATTTATAACTGTTTTTCATTTGTAAAAAAGCTTTTTTGATGTATATCTCTGGAATCAAAAGATTAATGGTTGCTGACGACTTTAAATTATATATTGATACTGCATTTACTATTCTGTTAGAGTATGTGTGGAAGTTTATGGTTTGTATTATTCCAAAATGTTAAATACTGACTGAAGAAACTGCTGATTTGTGTCCCCTAAGAAATTTTCCTACACCCAGCCGCATATTATTGAAAAATTTAATTTCGGTCGTTTCTTAGTCCGTCTCTGTACAAGCAGCCTTGTCTGGGAGATCAAGTGCACTATGCTGCTGATCAAAAATTGTCAGACTGGAAGTAAAAGAAAAGATTAATGAAAAAATAGTTTTTTTGAAAGAAAACAAAACACCTTCTTAAGCTATAACATCCACTGGTAAAGGAGTCATTTATATGTGTTAGGAATCACACGTTAAAAGGTAAGACCTCGTTAGTCGTACAAGTTTCGCCTTCTGAGGGTTATCGTTCTTAGGGGTGCAATAGCTGGTTAAGGGAAAAAAACATATTTTAAACAAACATAAGTGAAAATAGTTGGTTAAATAAAATATTTTTGATGAAAAGAGATTCTCTAAAAGAAGGTTTGTTGAAAATTGTCAGATTTCAACTGTTTAGGTTTCTTAAAGGATTTGATTGGTCATTTACTCCCTTGTTTTTTTTTCAGAGTATATACAGATTATATAGTAGTGAAAAGTATGAGACACATTAAATCTGGAGAAGAAATTACAATTTGCTACTCTGAAATAGATGCTCTACTGCCATATACAGAAAGGAATTTGATAACTAGAGAAATACTATTTTTTACTTGTGATTGTAAAAATTGTTTATTCGAAAAAAAGACTGTAAGAATAATAGTTGAAAATTAGGTGATTTATATGTTTTGAATACTGTTTTTTCCAGGGGGAGGCACCATTTAAATGTCCTAGTTGTAACACTGGCTATGCTACATATCTTGAAGAGAAAAATGGTGAACACGTTGGATATTGTTTTGATTGCGATTGTACCCTGAATTTGAACTACTTATCTGAACATTTCAAGACTGTTGATGTTTGTAAAAATGCTTGTAAGTATGCCTCTAATCAATATTAGGATAATCGGTGAACGAACAACTTCCATAGAGATCATATGCTGCCTTTTAAAAATGTATGATTTTCATAGTATTGGAGTATTTTTCAATTAGGAATAATTAATCAATAAAAACAAATAGTTATCAGTAAATTTTTCAATACTATTTTCAAGAATAGATACATATTGCCAATAAGAAAATAATATTATCATAAATGTTCAAAACATCTTTCTACAGCTTCGATACACAGCCTGCAGCGCCCCATGCAAATTCCTTCTAAGGTTTTTATAGATCGTGGATTATTTCGTAGATCTTCAATATCATTTTCAATTCTTGGTTGGAGCTCTCAGACTCTTCTTTAATGTAGCTTCAAAAAATCTAATGGATTCAAATCTGGTGAGCGTGGTGGCCATGCACTTCCTCCTCTTCCTATCCACTTCCCTTGAAAATGATGAGTAAGGAATTGTCTCATTTCAAGAGAAAAATGAGGTGGAACGCCATCTAATTGAAACCACATATGCCTTCGAAAGTCTAGAGTAACATCATCTAGCAAAAGTGGTGGATTATTTTGCAAAAATGTCAAAAACTGCGGTTCATTTAGTCTAGCTTGAAGCCAAAATTGCCCAAATAATATGCCATTCAACACTCAACAAAAATTAAAGTACTGAACTAAAATGCACAAAACATTGTAGTTTTTTACCAAATGGGTTTGATTCAATTGTGTTAAATTAAGTTATGACCATCTGAGTCTGAGAAAAAAAATTTATTGTTTGTATTTCAGTATGTAATCTGTACTTTCTAACAACTATCTATGAATATTCTGTATATAGGTGGCTGGAGAAATGAACCGAGAACTAAGGCTAAAAGTTTTTTTCAGATAAGAAATCAAAATCTATGACACCTATTTTTAAAATTGCTGAGATATATGGTGCCATATTTCCAAACACATCTCCGTACCTATTAGAAATATATAGATTGTTATATGACCACTATTATTCACTGGGAGGTAAGATAATTTTTAGTAAGCAATGCCACACCTCAAACAAGTGAATCTGCATCAAAAATTCTAATGAAATTATCCCACTTGTGTCCTTTTCTATTTCAGATCAACCATTGGAAGTGCTTAAATACGGTATTCTATTGTTCAATATTGCAGAACAAGTAGTATCAAGATTATATTTACGGTTGCTTATATCGAAAGTAAAATTCATAATGTACTTCACTGAAACAAAGTACTTTTCGAAGATACGATCAGTTTCCGAGGAAGAACTGTGAGTTTATTATTCTCATATTTATATTTAAAATTTATTGAGACTCCATTTTAATATTTCATCAATAATTCTTGACTTTTTTTTATTATGTAGAGCTATCTTTTTGAACTGATCATTTTTCACTGATTCACTTTCATTTGAGAAAGTGTTTGAACAATTATTCTATGTTACAAAAGTTTTGGAGCTTCTTATCTCAAATATTTATTCTACTGTATTGTGGTATATGAGGTCTATTCTACGAAAAAATTCTGACTTGCAAGTCAGAATTCTGACTTGTATCTCAGAATTCTGACTTGCAACTCAGAATTCTGAGATGAAAGTCAGAATTATACAAATTGAAAAAATATTTATGTGTGGCCCTTCAACGCTTTCGTAATTCAAAGTAGTCCCCCCTTGATGTGCCAGCGTTATTTTTTATGAAGAGTAGAATCAAATGCCAACTACTTCAGAACCCATTCGGCGAACACATATCGTCTATGGTCGTTTACCTTCAACTCCGGGGTCAGTTGAATTTTGTAAGGTATCAGGCCCAAGTCACGACGCAAAATTTGCCAAGTTGTGGTCTGCAAAACCGACTGCCTCGAATTCTGCTGCACACTTTCACAGACAGCGGCGATTCATTCGGCAGATCTTGCGTTTCGTCGACGTATGGATGGATGTTGGTCGATCGTTTACTGAACCAGTGGACTCAAATTTATCCACCACATTGCGAATAGCCCTGTCGGTATGACGATTATGGCGACCGTAAAATGGATGAAGCGCGCGGTACGTTGCTCGTACCGAACACCCATTTTGATAAAACAATATCTGCATGTGTTGTTGAATGTTATACAGGGTAAAACTGAATAAGTGTAAAACATTTAAGGAGGTGATTCCTCATTGAAAAAAAGATAGGATCTTTCATATAAAGAAATTTCATTGGAGCATCTCTTGTTGAGATACGTCTCCTTAAAGGGGGTACATAAAATTTGTATAACAATTTTTTTCACGAGCACTAAAAAAGTTACAATATTGAAATTAACCTGACGTTTCGTACTACCAAAAAGACACTCAGCCAGAAATTTATTTGGTTTACCTCATGGTTGTAAGGGGTGGAAAACGCAACCCCTAAAATTTATTTCCAATGAAACTTTTTGTCACTTGTGAAAAAAATTGTTATACAAATTTTATGTACTCCCTTTAAGGGGTCAACAAGAGATGCTCCAATGAAATTTATTTATATGAAAGATCCTATCTTTTTTTCGATGAGGAATCACTTCCTTAAATGTTTTACACTTATTTAGTCACGCCCTGTAATCATCCATATTGACTTGGCAAAACAGGCTGACTGAATGACAACTAATTTGACAGATGTAGGTTCAACATGATGGCCGTTATCAATTGTTCGAAAGTCCCAGTTGGAAGACCTAATACAAAGCAATTAGAATGTAGTCAAACTTTGTGTTTGTGGAGATCAAATCATAAAAGGTGTAGATTATAAAATTACTATGGATCTTCATCAAGTAACGGCCTAATCAATAAGAAAATTAAAGAAAGCTACTACTAGTTTCTTGGCCTTGGTACTTCAAGTAAATTATTCGATGTGCCATAACTAATCAGTACAAAAGTTTGTGGAGATCAAAATGTAAGGTGTAGTTTATGATATTACTATGGATTTTCATCAGGTAATGGCCGAATCAATCAGAAAAAAAAGATAAATTATCCATTTGTCAGCTGGTTGAAATTACCAAGACAGGTGAATTTGCTGTAGTCTAACCTTAGTATGAATTGTTCCAATACCTTGATTTACACTGTATATGAAGACACATATTTCGGGAAAGCAATAAAGTGTCACTGTTTTTCTGGTTGAAGGCCGTTGAATTTTGGAATTCCTTCCTAACGTTTCGCTAGTGCGAGTGACTAGCTGGCAGGATGTCTGAAGAATCAAACCACTCGCGCCAGCGAAACGTCTGGAAGAAATTCCAAAAGTCGACGGCTGCGAAAGCCTCACCATTTTGACAATCTATAAAGTGTTCTTCATTTTCAGTCAGACCATGGAGATATTCGTACACGAAGTCATAAAAACGAAAGGCGACCTCGAGTTTTACTTACCACAAGAGAAAATGTGCTTTTATAAAGACGTTCAGTTGAAAATTAGTCAATGGTTCAGCAATATGAGAGTTGTCAATAAGAAAAAATAGGCTCGCTCTTAGTTTGATTTTGTTTTATCCGGAGTTTTAAAGACTTTTTTTTGTTTCTTTCATTTTATCTTTGTGAATGTCACATTATCGGAAATACTTTTCAGTTATGTTTTAAATATTTATATTCGTAGTATTTTTTATTTCTTTGTATTTTATCGTATTGGACATCAGAAATCAATGAAAATACTCATCTGTTATCTTGAATGATTTCAAATATATCGATGGCTGTGTTATAATAGGTAATGTTTTGATGTATGACGAAAATATTTATCAGTATTTGAATATGTTCCTTGTTTTGTAGAGTATAATTGTTTCTACTCATAATAAATTCTACTTTTCTATCAATATTTTATTTATTGGAAGCTATGCATATATCCAAACCTGTTGAATGAAATTATTGTGTCATGTATAAAATTATGCTGAATTCTGCAGTCAACTACAATGATGCTCATTTGATCTAGTCATCTCAGTCACTATCAGGTAAGTATCTTGGAATTTGAGATGTCCAGCAGTATCCAGCTATAAATATGTATTTTGACATGCTAGAAGTTGTCTCACAACCTATTTGTAATCGTTATTAATAATGTAGAGGTATAAATTCCCTGCAACTTTGTTCAAAAAAAATGTTTAAACGTTGAATCTTTTTCGAGATACAGGGCGGAGAGCGCGCGGTTAGAGCATCATTCAAGATCAACCATTAGACCCGGTTAAAACATGCCAAAGGGACAAACTTTAATTACATTCTCATTTCCTTTTATTACATTTCAAATGGAAAATTATCAGGTACATCTTCTTTACCTGGAAATTATGAACCCTATTATGTAGTAAGAACCTTTCTGTTTATAACCAAAGGGACAGATATTCAATGGGGAATCTTCCTCAATTTCGGTTATTACAGCAAATGCAAGTTTGAACAAAATAAAGTTGAGTACAATTCATGAGTTTTTCAAATTCACTTCGAAAAGTATTCAAATTGATGTTTCAAATGTTGGGTTTTCATTTTTAAAGGGATTTCTTTCTAAATCACATATTGGCAACAGCGCCTATATCAAGTTGAAATAATTTATACTTACCTAGATATTCTACTTTAAAAAAGGAAAATTAT